GCACATTACGTTAGGTTTGAGTTAAGCAATAGCTCTTGTCATTCAAGTATTAGAAAAAACATAATAGAGTGGACATGCCCTGTCCTGCTGTAGAGTTTTAAGAGTAGTTGTAGAGTAAATGAGTAATGCTGGACCAATTTATCAGTAAAACTGTATGACAAGGAGAGAGTTGATGGGGGAAAAAAGAAGGAAAATGAATGTGATAAATTGACCGTGTTAATCTAATGTAATGCATTCAGTAATTTGTGGGCAAATCTAGATTAAAACACATCTGATTGCTTGCTGCCAACACTCTGAGTGAACAGGCCACTTATTTTTGGTTGCTTACTTTGGTTTTGCAGCACATTAACTGAATGGTTCAGTCTCAGTGTCACAACGACCTCCTTTCCAGAAGCAGTAGGCGACTGTTTCCTGTGTGGCCATTGGTAGAAGACAATTATATATATCGAGGCCACGTTTAACTATTGAGTGCTGAAAATGCTATTGCATGCACACAATACAATTCGTTCCCACGTTTTGATGAATTCATGGCCGCATGAAGCAATTTGTTCCCACGTTTTGGTTAATTTGTTAATTACTTAATATGTTATATATCATATGTGTTGGATACAAAATACCAAAACTAAGAGCAAGCAACTTTGATCATCTCTGGAGACACACACTTCTTGTGCATTAAAAAACTATTAGGCTCCAAACTTGTTTATTATCCAATTTATTTATAATATATTTATTCTAAACCTATTAGTTTTGCCCATGTTGAACTTCCCTAGTTCAATGAAAATCAGGGATACATGCTAGATGAAGACAAAACATTGCATGTAACATGAGACAGTGTAGGCGGCAGGCTGGTTACCACACGCCTGCGGGCAATACCATGGGAAAGCCTCCTGCGTGGGCGTCTGTGTAGGCTTCCCCAATGCACTTCCGGCAAGCTCCGCATCATACTATGATTACCCACCACGCCTTCAGGAGAAATCTGTCTCGGTCTTTCATGCAGGAGCCAGTTTTACCTCCTTTGCACTGCCGAGTTGCCTTTGAGCAAGCCAAGAAACAGCTCACCGGCACCGCAAAAGTGGCGAGCCCATCACTCCACCTCTCTCCCTGTTTGCATGTCCACAAGTGCATTACAAGTATGCATTACAGTTAATAAAAGTTTTAAAAGATAAAAGTAAACGTTTAATAAAGTATATATCTTCTTATTCTAACTTCAGGAAAGCTATTATGAAGGTGGTTTATATAAGGTCCTGCTTTGAATTTACTGCAAAATAAGAAATTCTACTGATTTTGTCAAATAATCTGTAAAGTAAAGTAAAGTATTTCTGTTGAAAGTGAGACACTAGATTAAATGTCCTAATCCTTGTTTAAGACATAGTGACAGCTTTTAAGCTCTGACATTTATTACAATAAATGGCTTACTGGTTAACAATCTCTAGACTCCCTTAAAGATTAAACTAAATGCAGCCAAAATACTACAATGAATCACAAACAAACAGTCTAGGAATTGTGAAGTGAAAATTCAATTGAAATGACAATATTTTTTCAGCTATGGCCCACGTTATCCGCCTCCGTTGTTTTCCCTTTGATGCAAATGTGTTCTTGCCTCCCTGCTGTATAAAAGTTGACTGACAGGTACACACCGACAGCTCTGTGCCAGAGGATAGCACACAGCCAGACTTTCACTTACGTTTGACTCCAGTTTCAGGATACTCAGCTGCCTAGCCTCAGAATGAACTTCACTACTCTTCTGGTGAGTACTCAATGAAAAAGAAACATTAGACTGTAGATGTCAAAAGCTTTTAATAGTTTAAGAGGTTGATATGCCTGATAATAAATATATGCGTATAATTTGTGCTTCCAGGTTTTTCTTGGAGTGATCGGGACAGTGTGCAGCAGTCCTGTCTGTCCTCGTAATTGTACACGAACTGGTAACCATCACCATCACCAGCTGTACTTCAAACATGTGTCGGACCTCGGAAGCTCATCAGTTGCACCATGGGACCTATTGTGAGTTTTTTGTAAATCATTTTCTGCTGGCTGGGGAGACATGATATTGTTTAAATAAGGGGATACCCGCATACAATTGGACAGTCTGTGCTGGAAGGAGTTCATAGTGTGACAGAGATAGTCAGAGATGCACCAATTTTTTTCAGACCAAATACAAGTACTTACATTTGGCTACTATGGAGTACTAATATGAGCACTTAACAATACTATTACTAACAATGACTTTGAAAACATGTTTTATTTTCATCAGATGTTTCTCACTTTCCGACTGTAAAAGCTGCTTAAAATGTCTCCAAACTGCTGACACTGCTTGCTATCGGTGCAATATGATTACAATTACAAGTATTTGTACAAGTACATTATCAGACCTGATACATAGAAATAGTAGCATCAGGAATGGAAAAATTAGGTAAATCCTACATGCGTTTTCACGTACACACAGCTGGACAAACTTTGACACAGTGGTGCTTTGAGCTAAATGGCAACATGTTTGACATCTATATGTTAAGTCAGGGAGATCACCAAATGTATTGTAAATCATCCTTTTGGGATTATGAACGTGTGTACTGAATTTCATGATAATCCATCAAATATTAAATATTGACACTGACAACCCTTGAGCCTTGCCACTAACATACCTAGAAATTACAGTGAGAATTGCAGGGAAATCTGAATGAAATGATACAGAACAAATCTATTGATGAGACTGTACAAAAAAACACTGTGCTGGAACAAGCACATGTATTAAAGCTGGAGTCCATAGCTTTCTAAACCCTGTATCAACCAGCCCTAATGTCCCCTCATTTGTCACTTACACACTTGCTTGTTGCTCTGCTTCCATGTAAACCATCCATTTATTCACAGACATTTCTGGTTTTCATTTTTTCAGGCCTGACACTGATGAGGACAGGGAGCCCTCTTTCATCTCCAATGCTGTCTGCAAGGATTGCTCTGTGGCCAACATGATCGCCAAGCGTATCTTACTCAAGATTAATGTCTACCGCAAGGTTAACAATGGCACTAATAATCTCTGGTGCAAGTGTCCCTACGAGCTGGCTGTTGGATGCACATGTGTCAGGGAACAAAAACATTGACCACCGGACATTAAGACAAGTCAAAGCCATTGATGTAGATGTTGTTGTAGTAGTAAAAGTAGTAAAGAAAAAATTTTATTCTATTTTATTCATGGTGATAAGACATATCTGCTACTTTATATTAGGTGTTAGACTTTATATGCCTGATTTATTTATTTAAAGTATACATAAATATATGCTATTTAAATATAACTGTTTAAATATAGTTTCATTGTAGATGGTGCCAGTGACATGAATTTACTATACAACATGTTTGTATACATGCAATTTCATGGGTTTTAGCTGTGTCACAGATTTCAGAATGACATTTTCAGGGAAAATACGATTGTATGGGGGAAAAAAACTATATGTGCTTTGTTGAGGAAGATGTGATATACTGTACAGCATCTGTATGTCACACATCTGTAACATGTATTATGCAATCTGCAATAACATCAACATAGTACTTTTAAAATATTTGTGTTCAATACAAATGTGAAAACTATTTGTTTTGCATTATGTGCATCTTAAGATGTTTGAGTTTATAGTACCCTTAATAAATGGTAAATGTTAAATTCAAGTATAAGTTTGTACTGTTTGTGTCAATAACCTTTGTACCATTTGTACTATACCTACACACTACATGGCCCAACGTATGTGGTCACCCCTGTCCACATACATTTGTGTACTGGGGCTGATTTTCATGGTTTAGGCCAGGCCCCCAACAATTTGGTGAAGGTCCATTTCTGTTTCAACATTACAATGCACAAAATGGTTTTCCCAGTTAAGTGTGGGAGAACTTGAGAAGCCAGACCTCAGCACCCAACATCTGTGTTGAACCTCACTAATGCTCTGGTGGTTGAACGGAGATAAATCCATGCAGCTATAGGATTAATGCCAACAATGTTTAACAATCATATATGTGTGTTCTTGTGCTTTTAAGATCAGTATAGACAAACAGCCTAAATCCAAATTCATAATACACCACTATGTAGTCTACAATATGTCAGAAATTATTGATTTTCTCAGTTATAATTATGATCACGTAAATAATAGTTTAGTTAAAAGTGAATAAATCCACATGTTATTCACATGTACTTAAATTCTTCAATGCAATAAAAATCTATTATGTTTTGATTATACCGTTTTTTAAGTTTTGGGGAAAAAATACAGTTTAAATGGTTTTGTAACGTAAGAGGTGGAAGAAGTATTCAGATCATTTCCTTTCAAAAGTAACAATGCCATAGTATAAAAATACTCAAATACAAGCAAAAGTCCTGGATTCAAGGAAGAACCGAGTAAATGCATTTTGTTATTTTCCACCACTGTGTAAAATACATTCTGTGAGGCTTTTTCTTATGATATTTTTATGATATTTTATGACACTAATTTGTTTGTCGTAGTAGTAGTGTTCATTTGAAGAAAAAAATATGGGAAAACAAATTGCCCTTTCAAATACCTGATTAAAATCTGTAGTTTTAATTACATTTGTGAATCCAGATGTTTATTCCTCTTTTTAAAGTGAATTTTCAAATCGATTTCTGAATTCTATTATTTATCACTGAATAAATTCATAGATTTTTAAATGATGTAGGCCGACTTTTGTGACTGTTCTATGAAGTTTTGTGTAAATCCTGTTTTAATTGGAACTATTTATTGATGGATTAAAAAAAATGTCCTAGTTACTCTTTTTATTGCCCATTAAAATTTCAAATAGGGAATTATTTTAAAATGTAGTCATTTATATATTAATAAATCAATTTGTAAACACATTTATTAACAACTATTTTTGTTATTATTATTACTTCACACTTGTGGTCCTCCATACTCGACACTGGCAACGTGTGTGGCTGATTCTGGGTGTAGTAACCGACTAAAATCCAACAGGTGGCGACAGAAACATTCAGAGAGAGATATTTTCACTTCCGAGTCGGGAGCGCTTCCTTTCCTGTCAGCCATTTGTCGGATACGGTGAGTTTCTGTCGAGCTCTCGTCTTAAAAATGTTTAAAATCCATCGTCTGTCTCCACGTAGCCGCGATTTCTGTGAGCTTTGACAAAGTTAACGTGACTACGTAGCTGTAGGTGTCGTTTTGGGAGGTGTTTACCGCAGTAATTGTGTGTAAATATGAGACTTTAGTCGAGTCTTTGAATGTGAGCAGCCACATGCGGCCGTGATGTGCTAACATGCTAACTGATGAGCTAGCTGGCTAACTCCTGTAATTATGTTTCTTTGTACGAAGGCTGGAACTAAATAAACATTTTATAACTTTAAAACTTTTTTTTTTTTAATCTGTAATATGATATTTTACGTGTTTTTTTTGGTCTGCATGCGACTGTTACGCCACCTTTACACACTCCTGTTAGAGCGTTCAGGTGGCTGATTAGTTAGGTTGGTTTTAATTAGTGGTAATAAGTTTTAATTTGGTGTAATTTGTTTGTTTCAGCTCTGTAGGCGACCACCTGTACAACCTGTAAACATGCAGAACGACGCTGGTGAATTTGTGGACCTTTACGTCCCACGTAAATGGTGAGTGACACACTGGAGGATAAAGTGATAGATTTTTAAAGTGACCCCCTTTTTTTTTTTTTTAAAGTTACAACACAATAAAGTGGTTTTGTTATCCAGACCACTAAAATACGGAGATCAGCACGAATGATGGTGACATGAAATATAAAATATTGTATTGCAGCTCTGCTAGCAACAGAATCATTGGAGCCAAGGACCATGCCTCCATCCAGATCAACATTGCTGAGGTAAAATGTCTCTTTTAAAAGCTGAATCCAATAATGTGTAACAGAAATGTCTAAAAGTACACCAGTGTGTTAGAGTAGAGCCTCTAGTGGACATGCTGTGTCGATTATTTGCAGTAATGCTAGAGACTTTGAGTCAAGAAGTTATTATTTCACTTTGGTTTATTAAGAAGCCAAACATCGTGTGTAGGTGTTTGATCTTAAAACCAACCGTGATGCACCACGCTGGCCTGAAAAGATTTTTACAATGTGGGACTTGCACATTGGAAACATGGGTTTGTAGATGCTGTTATCGGTCTGTGTAAATGCGATACTTGACCTTCACAATTCTCCAAGCTGAAAGAGCGCATCACCCAAAAACAAAACTGACATTTAAAGGAAAGTATTTAAGCCTTGTTCTGGAAAGCCCAAAACAATTAAAGTTTTTACTCACGTCATAAACAACAACATGGACGGGAACCTCGTAGGTGGTTGTCCATTAAAAAATCACCCGTCCACTCGCTCGGTGACACACGCTCTGCCACCCGAGCTTACTTTGTATATACTTGTTAAACAAACAGTAGGCTCGCTCTCGGCCGTAAGATTTGCATGTAGATGGCCACAAGAGTAAACCACAACAGCACCATGACAGGTTGAATAGTTCCGGGAACAATGGGTGCTGTGACTTATTGTGGAGCTGCGCAGTTTGATCACACAGGCTCCAGAGCGTGGAATATGACAGCGCCGAATGGACCTGTAATGGAATAACATCAGTTATCCCTCTGGCTGAGAGATGAGACTGTTTGTACACTGTTGTTGGAGGGACCCGTCAGTGCTGCTTGTTTTTCAACAGTTCCTTACAATCACTTGCTCTTGACATGCTCCCGTGTTCCATTAGGTTTAATTCCCGTATGAAGAAGTAGGAAAAATACATGGACAAAAATAAAGTCTTACGTGATCAAACCTGTAAGATATTATTGCAGCCAAGGAGCAGTGACCTGCTAGAATACGGGTTCTGGTGCCTTTTCAAGTCTCCCAGGTTTTAATCAAAGAAGCCAAATTGCTGTGAAACCAACTCAGTGTTTTTTTTTTTATGTCTTTGATTTCACTTATTTTGGAGTTGAAATGTTGTTCTTACCCAGTGTGCTCTGCTCTGTCCTCTGCAGGTTGACAAGGTGACCGGTCGCTTCAATGGTCAGTTTAAGACCTACGCTATCTGCGGCGCCATCCGCAGGATGGTAAGATTCATTCAGTTTTTATTTTTAGAGGCTAGTTGGACACTTCCTCGAGACAGTAGAGCGGTTGTTAGTGGCACCAGTCAGTGTTGGCTTGATTTTTAACAAACCTGTTCTGCTTGACGTGCTCTGTGTTCTGATTTGTCTGTTGCGCTGTGATTTGCCAGCTGTCACATGAACACAAAGCCCATCAATGTGCCTGTCGGTTATCAGTGAGAGCCTTGTAGCAGAGGATAGCTCTGATATTGAGTGTTGTCATCAGTGAGGTCATGATTTTAATTATCATCTTCTTGTCTGTGAAGCTGAACTGTTGAATCAAAGGTGTGGATCAACTCCCAGTTTCTTCTCATACTTTACTGGCAGAGGGTTTTTTGGGTATTAAGTTAAAACGTTTTAGTGATTTAGTTTCTTGAAACTAATCTGTTTTTGTAGATTGCAGCTTCTGTTCATCCATTAAACATAAAGCCAACAGAGGTTTTGAATGTGTTGAGCCAGACTTCAGAAATAAATAAAGAGGAGATCTGCTTTTTCTGCAGTGGAAATGACCTGAGTGTGGTGTTGTTTGTAACACCGTGACGTTACTGTCAGATTGTCTTCTACGCACTAAATAAACCCTTTCTCCCCCTCCTGCAGGGCGAGTCTGACGACTCCATCCTGAGGCTGGCAAAGAATGACACCGTAGTTGCAAAGTAAGAACCTCAAGTTCTCTCTTCTGTTGATCTGAAAATGTTTTATGTTTAAGCATGGAGAAATAATGTTGAATAACTTTTCATTCCTGAAAGTGATAATTTACTTTTTTATGGCGCTGGCTGCATTGTGAGCGGGGGTTTCGTTGTTGGAGTGTAATGATGCATGTTTATTTGTGATTCATGTTCAATGGAATGAAGCTCATTTGTTCCTCTGTCAGAGGAGTCAGTCGTGCCAGCCATACACTAAACAAACAATATGGAATCTTTCACAGCACACATTTTGAATTGTGATAGTTGGAGAAGCACATATCCCTAACGACACTACAGGCAATGACAGTCCATTGATGGCTCAGCTGATAAGCCACTGTTTTTACTAGATACTTTAAATAAAGTTGATTTCACATAAGTAATAACTGGTGATTAGATCATCAATGTGGCTGCAGAGAGGGAAAGATGCAGCTGCTCTTCATTAATTTCAACCTTGTAAATGCTCTAGAATTTTAAAAAATGCAAATTTTTGAAATTGTGCATCTTAAGCAGGATATTTGTTTTATCAGTTAAGACGAGACAATTTGCATTTGGAAACTAACATTGTTTTCCTCTCCCTGTCCCTTTTTTGTTTCACAGGAACTTCTGAGTGTAACGCTGGATCTGTGGAATCTTTGTAAAATAAAATGGGGGAAAAAAACACATTATTTGTCATTGTTGTACTTTCTCAGTAACTAGTGAACAACGTATGTGGGTTTAGTATTCAAAACAGTAAGTGTGTTAACATTTTAGAGTTTTTAGGCAATATATCAATTCATTGGAACTTAAACTTTTCCTTATAGTCTTTAAAAGCAACTTGTGAGTCTGACTCGTGGAGCTAGTAGATTCTTCCTTCCTGAATTGGTCAAAATATCCAGTTGAGATGGTAAACGTTGAACATATTGTCAACATTTCCACTTGGCAAACGCCACAACAAATACCAAGTGTGGTGTTGTGTCAGGCAAAACATGTTCTCTTGTCTGAGGGCTGTAAAATTCAAACTGCATGCTAATATGAAGGTTTTACAATGAAGTGCAGAGATGAATAAAAGAAGCAGCGTGACAACAAAGAAGCTGTTTAGGACACAAGAAATTAGTTAATTTTAATACATGAAATGTTCTTTGGTCCAGATGATGGAATTGAAAATGTCTGATGCGCAGTCTGCAGTGTGGGTGATGTATGCTGTTCATTGGTATTATGCAGTATTCCTGTAACTTGTTGACATGGCCTGTCATGAGCTGCAGAGAAGGCCCAGTTATAAAAACACCAGCTGAGAAATAGATGAAGCTAAATTCTGACTGATGAATAAACACTGCAGTTTTTAAACGTTTTGACAGCATTTGTAAAGACTAAAGCTACATTCTTATCACCTGAAAGTAGACATTTTCAGCAACTGATTTACTGTAGTGAGGTTCTGGATGCATTTACACATCCGGCTATTAGAAAGTGTTTTTGTTAGCAGACACAAAATAAATACAAAGGCCATTCCAAGTTGTGGTAATTAGCTCAGTGAGTTTAATGTGAGGTTTATTGATTTGTGAGGACTCCTACAAAACAATGGAAATAGCATGAAACTGAGCCTTTTTGCATTCTGACAGCTTGAGTAGTCTAAGTCCTCTAAATGATTTAAAATAGCTGTTTGCATCTGAGGCCAGTATAACCCATTACAGGCACTGAGGGATGAACAGCTGCCACCATGAGGCTCCATCCTCACTTTCCAGCAGAGGGCAGCATTTGACAAGAAATGGAAGTTTCCTTGTTTCAATCTTCTAAAAGGAAATCTGATTTATTTCACTATTTGTTTCTTCTGTAATTTAAAAATAGAAAAACATCAGAAATCAAAAACAAGAAATATGGATTATTGACATTATTGACTCAGTGACTCATTTAAGTGGCATTTTGCTAGAAACCAGACTTTATAACTCAAGCTATATTTTTTCATTCAAATTAAAATATTAAAAACTAATGGTTACAGTTCATGCATTGAGTCAAATGTTCTTCAATGGAAAAAAAGTTCTCAAATTAGTGAAACAGCGCCCCCCTTTGAATACAGGATTGCTAAATGTGAGTTTGTGTGGTGAAAGATGGTATTACAACGCACAGGTGCAGCGCCGATTGGAGGGAAGCCAGGTAAAGACTTCCTTTACATAATTAGAATTTAGCTTCGCTTTCATGCACTTCTACAGTTAGCTATAGGTTGCTAAGCTAGCAGGTGATAAATGGAGGTGTTGGCAACAAAAACAAAAAGACTAACTGGAAACAACATTGTCAAAAAAAAAAAGAAGTGATGCTAACTTTATCTGCATTGTGATTGTGCCTCAAATACTAATTTTCACACCATTTGTAAATTAATAGAAACCTGCCTATAACCAGAGGTTGACTGAGTGTGTAATATTGTGGCCTATTGTGGCTTATTGAAGTTGTTTTGTCACTGTCTTATACAGATATAATTTCTGGCATTCACTTCCCATAAAGAAAAAGTTGATGTCTGGCAGGTATACAGTCAAAAATCCTAATCTGACCTTGTACTGTTGTTTCCATTAAAAGTCGATGCGGCCTTCATCATTTCTGGCTCTCTGCTCAGCATCACTGAGCTCAAAGCTGTTACTGATGTGCTGAAAACTTTATTACAACAATACAGATGTTGGACTGTTGTTGCAAGTGTAATTTTTCTTCCATACAGATCACGGAGTAAGGGCGTCTTCCCTCCTACCGTCTGCACCATCTGGCCATCTGGCTTTCAAAGCAGGAGCGAGCAGATGAAATAGAGGTCAAAGTTGGAATAACAGGGCAAGGTGACGGCATGAGGAGGTTACAGTGGTCATTTAGGCTAAACACAAGGTGCATGTGGCGGTCCAGTGGTGTGTGAGAGCGGTTTCAGGGCGTCTTTAACCGCACACAGCCTCAATGATAGCTGTCGTCAACTGCTGCTTTACTGCCTCGTTCCCACACATTCTCACTCTTTTTTTCCCTTACAGGTGAGGAGCCGAGCAGATGAGAAGTATGTCATCATCGTCTTCATCAGCTCCCACCCCCCTTTTTCCCAGAAGGCCAAGGTATGTGACTGCTGGCTTCACCTTCCATTTGTGTCCACTGAAAGCGACTCAAAGGGCAAGTGTTGCAAAATGCTCTTACCCTGTCCAGTTCACGTACACTGAATTTACCTGTAAATCTGCACAAACTCACAAAAAAGAAGAAGAAAAGAGTGTCTGTTGGGTCTGATCGTGCAGTTTTATAGAATAATGCTCAGAAAATGAACAAACTAAAGGAAAAAAGAGATGCAGCAAAGCCTGTAAAGCTGGATGCAGATTATGATTTAACTCTTGTAGAATGTGCTTGCAACACCGGGTAATAGGTAACTAGCTCTCACCTACTTGGCAGTCTCTTCCCTCCCCCCTCTTTCTCAGGTGAAATGACTGTGCTCTGCTGTTCAGCCTTTTAATTGCATCACTTCCCGTTTATGGACAAATCACTAACCATTAGCTGCCTCAAACCTGTCCGGTGTGAGAAAAACCCTGACCAGACGCAAACCCACCTCGTCTCTCACGTGGCAGCCAACTGGTGTGTGCGGGGACTCAGAGAAAGACAGAGGCTTGGATTTGGAAACGAGGCTAAAAGCCCATATTTAAATTGAAGTATGTGATATGTAATAAAACTAAATTGTAGCAGCCACGCCTTGCACTGTGAGGCTTAGTGCACATTTAAAACTAAATTTTTGAATGGATAAACACAGCTATTCTTAGGTTCGTACAGGGCAAAAATAATTCATGTTAGAGCAGCGGTTCTCAACCTACGTCTGGCATGCCCCCCTTCAGAAGCCGAAAAAAGTTCACGCCACACACCTCACAAAGAAATCCAAAACAAAAAAAAAAAGTGTATGTGGCCATATGTGTGCACACACCCCTATCAAGAACCAATGTTTGGTCTGTCCCTTCTGGGCTACTGTACAATCATTGTCTTCATGGAAGGCAACCTGTGGTGTTTGTAGATAAAAACATAATTTTAAGGTAGCCTGCCAATACATCTTCCTAAATGTTTGGACCTTTAAATTAATCTCCAACAACAAAAAATATCCAAATTCTTAGTTTTAACTTTTCAAATGTGAAATATTTTCTTGTTTTCTTCAGTCCTCTCTGACAGTAAACCGAATATCTTCGAGTTGTGGACAAAACCAGACATTAAAGGACATCACCTTTGGCTTTGAGGAAGTGAAACGTTTTTCACAATTTTCTGACATTTTATGGACCAAACAACTAATCGATTAATTGAGAAAATGAACGACAGATTAATCGACAACGAATCTAATTGTAAGTTGCGGTGCTAAGCATTTTAGCATTTAGCTTGAGTTTTCACCTGCTGCTTGGTAATGTGTTGTACCACAACATTGGACCAACATAGGGACTGAAGGCCATTGCTTTCCCTAGAGCTACGTGCAGCTACCCACCACCCACCTTTGCAGACTAAATGATTCATTGAAGCAGGAAAGCCTATTTCATCCACAACACAAGGCTGTTTTTAGTTGCTGAGATGATTGACAACTTGATGATAAAATATCTATTTGATATCTCTAAAATGTATCTGGCCTTTCAAGACTTTTCATGTTTTTCAGTAGTGGTCTATTTGAGTATCTGTATAACACACACGCACACACACACACACAAACACAAACACTGAATCTTCTTTTCGAGACAAACTCTCGATCTGCATTAAATGCTAAACATGCGTGGTGTTTCTCAGCCTGTGGCAGCGAGCGCCCGGCAAGTCGCAGCTCGCCAAACAATGATCTTAACATGAAGGCATGGAAGCCCCTCACACGCCCCCCGAACCCCCTCACCTGGCCCCCTGCATACCTTTCACACACACACTCACACACAGACAAAGAACACTGTTCCAGCCTTTAGAGAAGGGGCAGGGAGCCAATATGGGCCAATAGCAGAGCATTCATGTGGGAATATGTCCTTATCTGTAGACTTTTATTGCATTTGTGCTAATATATATCAGCACAGATCAGGTATATCAACAGGATTTTGTGTTAGTGAGTGAAGCAGCTTTGGTTGCTAACTGAAGCTCAACCTCTTTTTCATCTAAACAGGAGTTTACATCACTGATTATTGTCTCACAGTACTGATCCGGCTGTTTCTGGCTGGCTCACAGCTCTCTCCGGCTGCACAGGTGGTGTAGTAGGAAGCAGCAGTAGCAACCAAAGCTGCATGTTGAAACCAGTATATGAGCACCTCCAGTTCAACCTGCAGTTACTTAAAAGGCCACTAGGTGTCAGCTAAAACAAAACCGAGACTACACTTAAACAGACAGGTGAACTCCTAACTTCTGTAGTTTCTCATTTAAGAAAACAAATCTCAGTAAATCACTGAATGACTTCCAAAGCTTTATAAAGTTTATTTGATGCCACAGTTATATTATCTTATATTTTCTCTTCACTTCCTGCTTTGTTTTTGTCCGGCTCTTTGAATGTACAGCCTGACGTCTGTCCCTCACTTTTCACATTTTACCATATCTCTCATTTCCTCTCCTCGGCCTGCTCCTCTCTTCCTGTCTTTTGTTGTGCGTCTCTCTTTCTCTCCCCCTCTATATCTTTCCATCTCTCTCGCTCATCCTTTTGTCCGTCTTCAGGAGCAGCCCGGCTTGTCTCATT